ATATCAACCATTTAATGTAATTAAGGTACAACTATGATAAGGAATTAATTTTATTTATATTTTATACTTAATTTTTTTAACTAAATTTAATATACTTAACTTGTTAGTGACTGCATCTATTGCCAATGAAGCTAAACGCAAAAAGAGTTTTTTTATACAATGTCTAAGCTTTGGGTAAATAATTGACTAAATCAAAACGAAACACTAAGCTTCCCTTGCTTCTTACTTTCTAGAAAGTTTTTAGACAGTAACTGCATAAATGCACCAAGGGTCTAACAGAAACAAGCCCTCTGTTTTTTAGGGGAAAGGTTGTGTACATATTGACCCATATCCCTTAGACCTCGATGAAGTTGGGATTATGCTGGGTTTGTTGTTGTTAACTTATCCATGACTGTTTTTTGGTGAATCACACGATATATTATGTTTGCATGATAAAATGAGACTCGTCTTTAGACAAAAAAGATTGTGACACTAGATTCTCTCTTTTGGGATGGATGGAGTACATAATAAATGAAATGTCTTCCGCAAATACAAAAAAGTGATATCATATAACCAATTAAACAACAACAACAACAACCTACCGGTAGAATCCCAAAGTGGGCTATGGGGGGTGAATGTACACAAACCTTACTCCCACCTAGACAATATCATATATCCAATTAAAAGTAATAAATCACCAATACAAATTAAACTCAACCTTTTTACGTAAGGTGCAGAGCAATAAGTACCTATGATCCCCTCGTTTGGGTTGAGTGCTAGCCAGAGCACCTGTAAATCCCACACCCAGAGCTGGGAAGCCTATTAAAATAAAAACTCAGCATAAAGGATAAGATCTGAAAGTAACAGTTGTCTAAATACTGAAATGCAAAGAAGTTTGCTTGCATTGTGTATAACATTGCTATAATATACTCTATCCATCCAGATTTAGTTATCCACTTTCTTGTTTTTATTTGTCCATAATTAGCTGTTCACTTTCTCTATTGTATATTCAAGAAAAAAACTAAGACTAATTGTCTAAAACATCATAGAGATAGGATATGAGCAATCTTGACATGAATGATTGACAAACTCATTTGAAGGACTTATTTGACATTTTACATTTCTTAAAAATGAGTCCTGATGGAGTTGAGCAATTCCATATCTCAAGAATCTCTGAGTCCCCTTAAGAGAGAGAAGAAGAGGAGTCATGTTGCTTCTTTGGATATGATGGGGTTTTGTTGTGTTCTTAACTTCTTATTAAGTGGCATACTTTGTTTTGCTTGAACAATCTGATGTTTTGTCGTGTTTCTTATTCAAACCTAAAGGGATCTTATTGTGCTCTTATTAAATACTGGCATACTTTGATTTGCTTTGGACAATTTGATGTTTCATCCTGTTGCTTCTTCTAATTTGATGGGGGTTTGTTCTGTTCTTATTAAATAAGTGGCATACTTTGTTTTCCTTTGAACGATCTGATGTTTTACTTTAGAGTAAATTCCATAATTGGTCCTTTATAAGAGGGGAGTTTCCATATTTAGTCCTTTATTATCAAATATTACCACCGTAGTCCTTTTTTTAAGGGTACCTTTCCACAAATGGTCCTTTTTTTATCTTCTGCCGTGTTGGTGTTAATTTAAAGGCTAAAAATATAATTTGACATCAACATTATGTCTAGTGATGTGTTCTGATATTGGTTAAGCGGATAACACAAAAATAATGACTATGATTGTGGGCTAGGATTCTGACAAAAGACCGCATTTTTAGACTATAGTTGTAGTAGAAAACAACTGTAATTCACAAACGACGTAAACAAAATAGTCTTTGGAATTGTGTATGACAAAAAAGATATATTATCATTGTGAAATTACACTTTTAGCCCTCAAATTAACACCAACATGATAGACGATCAAAAAAAGGACTATTTGTGGAAAGTCACCCATAAAAGAAGGACTACTGGGGTAATATTTGATAATAGAGGACTAAATAGAGAAACCCCTGTTATAAAGGACTAATTATAGAATTTACTCTTTACTTTATTCCTTTTGCAGTGTCTGGTGCAATCTATAGGTTTCTCACGGTAGCGGCTAGTCGTGTTCCTTCAAAGCTTTCATCTATGGTAGGAAATGTGGTAAAGAAAGTATTTCTATGCAGCTGAGGATGGGGAGCCTCTTAGAATCTATTTTTAGTCGTATTCATATTCATTATTACGTAGATTTTAATTGTGTCATTATTGTATTTGAGAAATTGTGGATCGTACGTATATTGCTATGGGCTAGAATTTCTAATCCAACTTTGGTGATAGTGGTGTTTGCATTGGTCGATTTGGTCCGCGGTCTTTCCCGATTTAGGTTTCCACATTAAATTCTAGTGTTCTCTATTATACTAGTGTTGTTATTTTGTAAAGCCTCGCACATCGGATTCCCCAAATACTAACAAGAGCAACTACGAGGTCAACGGATTCATCCCAAAACATACTCACAGAACCCACACACTCAATGACAGCCCAAACTCGAACTCATTGAGAAATGCACAACTAAAAGGAGACACAATGATATGTTATTGAACAATCTACAAATAATTCTTTAAGAAAAGAAGTAAAAACCATGATCATCATATAACTCAATCTTCAAAACTCCAACGGCTTAAAAAAGCATACCCGGTTTAGAAAGCTTTAATGCTCGATTGTAAGCCAGCAATGCCATTTCCTCTGCTGTTTGCAGGCTAGCAGATTGAGCAGGAACCTGCCAATAACACATCCATTAAATTCAAAAGAACAAAAAAAATAGGATCATCAAGTACACCCCAGAAAAATGCAATGAATCTATTCAAAAAAAACACCAAAAAATTGGGGGAAAGAAGGGTAATCTTGCAAAATTTGAGCCGACCTTTCCTAGCAATTGGACCATGGACATTCTGGAGTAAGGAACCACGAATTCAAGCACGGTGTTGGAAGCCCCGGGAACGGACATCAACCACCCCAAGGCCTGTTCAGAATCTGGGTAAGCAATTCATCAAACATGTTGTGTGCATCGGTGAGAGATCATAGAATAGAAGAACCTGTGAAGCTCCGCCGGAGACGTAGACGACGGCTTGAGTGGGAGTAGAATGTATGGCTTCCACCAGTGTTCTCATACAGGTGTCAGCCATCATCGTCTTCTATGGAACGATCGGAAGATCGATTTGTCTTCAGTTGCGCTGACTGTGGTTGCATGAAAAGTGAAAACAATTTCTTTTGTTCTATAATAAAATTTCATATTTTAATACTCCGTATTTAATTGTCACAAAATAAATTTTATACTCCCTCCGCAAATTGGAGTTTAACAAAAAAATATTTCATTTTTTGAAATTATTTTATTTACAAATTAGTATATTGATAAAAAATAAAAATTAGATATTATAAAACTACGCCAAAAATTCTACAAAACAAAAGGTGACAAAAATATTTTCTTTCATCAAATACATAATAAAACTGTGTAAACAAACAAAAGTTATCGAGATGAGAAAAAAAGTGTAATCTAATTGTGGACGGATGGAGTATTTTTTTATTAAGAATGAAATATGTGACTCATATTTTCTTTCTCCTCCGAATAAATTCAAATATATTTTCTTCACCGGATCTGAATAATTTTAATCTAATTTGAATATAGTTGCTCGTATATACTTATATTTCAAATCGCTTCTGATTTAGTTTGTCCAGAAGAGATTTATCTCTATTCATTTAAGTTGTATAAACAGATTTGGATGTTGAATTAAAATGTAAGGAATTGGAAAAAAAGCGGTAAAGAATTAAAAAGAGTTTTTTTCATCATTTACTCTTAAACTCTTCAATAATTACACGGATCCCCCGGAACTTTAAAAATTGCACCAATGACTCCTAAACTTTTAAAAATATTGCACCAATGGTCTCTCCGTGCCATATACGGGAGTGCGTTAATCGCACAATCATTCAGTGTAAGTATAAATTCATCTAAAGTCATATATCACTCGAGAGTTCAGCAATATATCCTTCCCAAACATTATTTTAAATAAAGCTCATCAATTGATCAATCATTTCATCAACTATAAAGCTCATCATCAATTGATCAACCATTTCATCAACTATGGCATCTTCATCAAGCTTCAACATATACGTTGATGAGCGTGTGATTAACACCTTCCAACTCTAGCACAGAGGAATTGTTGGTGCAACACTTATAAAAATTCAGGAGGCATTAGTTAAACTTTTACGGAGTAAATTTTAAGGTGAATTTGTTCAATTTTTGAAAAAATCCAGAGTAAATGATGCAAAAAAACTCAATTGAAAAATGTTGGAGAAAATAAAGTATATTGATGAGTGTGTGATTAACGCACTGCCAAATCTAGCACAGAAAGACCATTGGTGCAACACTTAAAAGTTCAAGTGGCATTGGTGAAATTTTTGTAGTTCAAGGTGAACCCATGCAATTCTCAAAAAGTTCAATAATCAATGATGAAAAAAAACTCAATTGAAAAATGTTAGAGAAAAGTGTTGAGAAAAGCATGTGTTTGTAGTCAATGTAAAATTAAGAGTGTTTTTTTGGTGCACCTTAGGTACATATTCACGTAAAAAAATTGTTTTTTTATTTGAAAAAGCAAATACTTATTTAAGTAGTAAAAAATGCTTATTTTACTTATATGTAAGTCTATGGTGAACCTTAGATCCACCATAGAATTTGCCGTAAAATTAACAACACGATTTTATCTATCTTAATTTTTCAAGTCTAACTCGATACTATATACCGAGTACTAAGTAACAAATAAATTATATAGTATAATGAGATGTAAAATGAAAAAATAAATAAATACATAAAGCCCTCTATTTTGGCATAGATCACAACGTGCCAAACAGCCCCTTGAGAGAAAAAACTCATCTTCTTACCGTTGCAAATAACATGATATAAGTAAATTATCAGGCACATTTGTACAAATATGATATTTGGCTTTATTCTGCATATATACTCTCTCTCTCTCTCTCTCTCTCTCTCTTGTGTGATTCCATAGGTGTTATGAATAGTTATAGAGTGTCCAACACAGCAAGGAGAATGGGAGATGACTAACCAAACTTCACTTTCCTCTTGTGACATAAATACATAATGTTGAAGGATTGGCAGTAGGTGCATAAAGTTGAGAAGGCAAGAGGAGCATATACCAAGCACTTTAGGAGCAAGCAAAACAAGGGCAATCGTCATCAGTCCAGTCACGAATCATAACGGCATAAAAACTGGACAATGCACGGATATATTTGTTCAGCAGCCTGCAATTAACAGAAAGATATCCCATGTTGTCACACCTTTAATGCAATTTACATGAAATTATAAGGTGCAACAACACGTCCGTGTTCTATATCCTCTATTGAACTGGACATAGTGCAAAGAGTGTAATACTTGAAAGGGTGGAAATGTAACAACCATTAATAGATCCATACTATGAAGTTACCTACCCTCTCAAATCTGAACCAACGGTCAAATTGGATCGTTCTCATATTCAAGGGATCTCTATAGTCTATACTTTATATATGTGGTCAGGGATTGCATGGTCGTTCAGTATGAAATGGTATGCAGACTCTGAGTTTGGTCAGAGCATGGGAAAGAGGGTAAAGATATAACCTTGGTTTCGAAGCATTGAAGTCACTCACTGGAAATCTTCATAATTAAATGGCTGACAATATTCACCACGAAAAAGAGAGCAAAAACACTGTATGGTGGAATTTACACATTGGCATATCCCGGGGATGAATATGACATTTCCCCAAATCATTACTCGTAAATGCTAACGAAACTGTGCAGAATAAGTTATGGTATGCACACTTTGAATCCTAATTAATGATAGTTAGATTTCCACTCTCATCTATTTGGTTATTGTATAAGTTATCTAAGAATTATTGTTGGTCAAAATGCACATACCACTCGGCATCCCACTAGATCATAATGAGCATAATGTGGACCATCCGGCTCCCCAAAGAGTTTATAGGTAACTAAGTGCTCGGGAATGGCCTTTGCAGTTTCTGTTCGTCATTAAGCAAGAAAATGTATTGACTTCATTCCATTTTCTCATAATCAAACAGCATTAGTAGGTTAATACATACCATAAACAGCTTCAGGTGGACAGATTAAGTCGTGATCTCCCGCAATAGCTAAGACCGGAACATTGATTTTGTGAAGATAATCCTTGTATGCAAATTTGCCACTTCTGTCTCGAAGCCCCCCTTCTCGAAAAGCTGTTGTGAGCTGTAATAAAAGTTTGGCTGGAATGGTGCCTGTTCATAGGTTAACAGCCAACTTTTATATGAAAGAAATTTAATCTATCACATGTTTGTAGGAATTAGGACTTGGAAGCTGTCAGGTTTTAAACAGATATTCTATTCAAAAGAAAGTTGCTGTAGCACATAGTTTGTCTGGAATGGCGCCTACACACGGTTTATAAGCCAACTTTTGTAGAGGAAAAAATCAGTCTATCATATGTTTGTAGGCATTAGGAGTTAGGATTTGTCAAGTTTTAAACAGACATTATATTTGAAGACTGGTAGCACATCCATGTTAAAAGCTCATGGCTCTCCATTAGAAGCTTAGCCACTAGTTGCTTCACATTAAAATCACCTAATACCTATTCTTTCTATGAGCAAACTTTGTCAAAATGATAAAATAAATAAAATAAAAACAGTATTAGTTTTCACCAAGTATCCTCTATGAGCAGTCAAACATTAGTATAACAGTTTTCAATTTGTAAATTCATGGGCAGTGATCACAATAAATAAATGAAACAAGTTCATCTTGAAAATAGAACATCAATGGCTGATTTGGAAATTCTCAAGAAACTTTATCATATAACCCGGTTTTATTTATTATGGAGCATCTATTTGTACTTTGTATCTTATCAAACTGCAGACTGCATTCAGCTGACCAGGTGATCCAAACCACTTAGTCACTTACTACGATTAATTCCCTTCACAACCAACGTGAATCCAAGAGCCGGCTTTTAACATAATGTGTGAAAATTTTCTAATCGAATATGAAATGATCCACAAAGAAACATGTATTTTCATTGGAATACTTACAAAAGTTGTTCTGAATAAGTTTTTTCAACAGCTCAGGATGCATCATATCTCCTGCCGATATCATGTCATTGAGCCAAGACAAAACATAAGGAGGACTAGATGTTAGTGGATAAGCTGCTGTTAACAACGATCCTAGAGGAATAACAGGTACATTGAGAGCCTGGGCAGGATCAGCCTGCATGAATATAGGGGACTGTAATTAAGCATGTTGATAAAGGAGTACATAATGATTGCTGATAAACAAAGACCATAGGCTTAGCTTACAAGGGGTAAAAGCAGTTTAAGTGCAGATTTAGATGGTGTGTAATCAAGTGATGAGGCCAGAGTTACAACAGCTGCTAATCCAGGATCTTTCCCATAAAAAGCTGTAAGGAATAGACACATTGTGTTGAAAATCAAACCACACTACTTAAATATGATCTAAACTGTCATTTTCAAGAAGAAATAACTTAATGACATGAGGGTGGAGGGAGTAGCTCACATGGTGCCCTACCCCGCCCCCCCAATACACACACACCAAGGATCGAATCACCACCCAAAAATTAATGTAATGACATGTAATAATAAGCAAGCACATAGAAGAAACCAAAAACAATCTAAACTGAGCCCATGTAGCAATATACTCCCTCTTGCCCCAAAAATTGGTACCAACTTAAGAGTAAGTGCATAACGAAAATCCAAATATTGTTTTTGTTCATCCCACAATAAGGTTCTGTTTACTTTGAGGAAAGAATTGTGCAGATCATACTCCGTATTACTCATCTCTTCTTTGCATAAATCTCAACCACACAATTTGGGTTTCTAAACAACATTGTCAAGTCAAACCTGAAATCTTTCTACAGCTCGGGGGAGCATATTTTACTTTTAAATTTCATAGACATAGAACATATCCAAATCAACATTATGAGATTTCATGAAGACAAGAAGAAATTGGGAATTACACAAATAGTGTTCCAAAAGAAAATGCATTGCAGCACCAATGCAATATGAAATACTCCCTCCATCCAATTATCTTCTCGTTGCGTGTTACGATGTTTGACTTGAGTTATTTTCAAATCATTTTATATGAAAAATGATGTGGAATTAAAAAATAAAAATTACACATTTAAAAACTACATCAATAGACCTACAAAACTAGAGGTGACATGACTATATTATTTTATCAAAAGGGCAACAAAAATAGGCCAACAAAGTGTGTAAAGTTTGACCCTGTGAATAGTGAAAGGGAAGATAATTTGTGGACAGAGGGAGTATTGGAAAAGATGTCCTCTTACCAAATCTTGATAACCTTCCATAGAGCAAGATTCCTCCCATGGAATGTCCTATTGCAAGCAGTCTTCCATCATTGGGTTTTGTTTGGGCATTTATATATTTCATCTATAGTGGAAAAGACAACCATATGAAGATGGTTATGATGATGATATTATTGTTATGATTATGATTATGATTATTATTATTACTAATGATAATAAAAATAGTAATAGTGATAATAATAATAACAATAATAATATTAAACCATGATAAATGTGTTCAACCTAAATGACCTCAAAATAACTGTATAATTCCCAATATTAAAAAAAAGTCACCTCACCGCAGCAGGTACATCCTCTTCCAGATAGTTGTCGAAGTCCCAATCATATTTGATCATTAAATCTATTTGTTTCTGAAAATCTTCAATGGTTGAGATTAAACGCTCATGCAGATCATATAGTGGGGGTGAAACAGAACGTTGACCTTCTTCAATGATATTTACTATCCTTTGACTCAGATCTCTAATTTGGCTGGCAACAGCAGAATTTTGCCTCACTTCCAGCAAATTTAGTAAATTGTTCCTTATCTCATTGAACCGTTCATATAGGAAGGAATCTTGCAAGAGTCTGGACAGTTGATCCACAAACTTAGCTGATATAATCTTTGATTGACTCTCACTTAGAAAACCAGATAGTCTTTCAGACAAGCGCATGAAAGTTTCAGTCAGTTGGGTTACTAATCTTGACTCATCGAATACAGTTCCTATTTCAACAGAGTCTTCTTTGACCAACTCTATGTCAAAATCTTCCGAGTTTTTGGAGACATCTCTTGAATCCTCGGCTACAGATAATTTTCCAATGGCTGAATTCCTCCTAGTGGCACTTTTTATATCGTCGGACATTTCGTGAGCAGCCTTCTCAATATTTTGGTAATCTGATTCATTCAAGCTTAGCCCGGCTCCTCGAACTTCAAGGATCCATGTGTCAAACCCTTGTCCACACATATGACGAGCAAATGATGACTATAAAATCATACCATCACAAGTAAGGGTCATGTGCAAGCTTCCCTCAAGCAGGATAACAGTCAGAAATAGTTGTACTAAACTTATTTAACATAGTATACAACAACAACAACCCAGTTGAATCCCACAAGAGTAGGGTTTGGGGAGGGTGTGTGCATGCAAACCTTACCCCTACTCGAAAGCAGAGAGGCTATTTCCAAAGAGACCCCCGACTCAACATCGAAAGTTGCATTGATTGACTAACTGCTACTTCATTAATTAAAGAAGCGCAGACAATTTTGAGATTCATTTTGCTTTACAAGTACTATATTATCTCAAAAGATTATCTCTTAATACATGAAGTTGATATCATTGACTTGGGATCAAAGGCCCGGTCGTCATTGGGTATTTGTGTATATGAATTCTAAGCACAATTCATTATGGAAATTTGACAAGTTCTATAGCATGAATATAGAAAAAAACTCCTCTAATAATTTGCCTCTATATCCGAACATGTGATGCTAGAGGAAAGAGCATAATGGGAACTTAATCTGGTATAGGAGTAGCAAAACTAAACTATTTTCAAAATTAATACAGTACATAACCACAAGAGGAAATTTGCCTGCAAGAATATCGATGATAGTCTATAGAATCACTACGACGAATCAGCTTAATGAAGTCGCTTGTAATGCCATAGAACATCTCCAATTGAACGATATGAATCACAAAAACTGAAAGAAATAATGGGATGAGAACTGACCCCAGGAGAAAGATCATATCCGATGGCATTAGTCCCAACACCTGATAGCAGCAGCAGTGGATGATTCCTCTTTGGAGCCTATTCCAAGTCCAATTCAAATTACAGATGGGCATCTCAGTATCACCAAAGAAACTACTAGAGTTTTTAAAGAAGGCGTATCTAATGGAACATCTACACAATATAAAAATTTCATAAAATAATGAAATTCTGATGGCGAATTGAAACCTCGGGAGGAGGAACGTAGCGCCAGAGAGCGAGTCGCCAATCAGAATTGTTAGCAGAGACGTAATGGAGCTCGTCGGCGGTGCACACCGACGGCTTTTCCGGCAGCTTTTTAGCTTGGACGCTCTCTACATCGTCCGTTCCAGAATTGCCCGTCGAGAGAGCTCTCACTCTCGCACTCGCCGCCGCTGGAGAACCAAAGGCAACTGAAAGTGGAAATGGCAGGCGGTGAGGTTGACCGGCTCGGCAGCGGAAGCGGGAGGCGATTTGAATCGCCGATCGAACGTCGGAATGGATGGTGAAAACCATTTCTCCCAGCTTTTTCAGGTCGATCCGACTGTCTAAAATGTGTACTTCCCTTCTCCCATTAAGATTTCATACTCCCTCCTGCTAAAAGATTGTCAATCTAAAATTGAAAGTAGTAGTTTTTATCACAAATTAAATATAAATTAAAATAATTAAATATTATATAGATTTGATGTTTTAAAATTATATTTTAAAATAAACCAAATTTAATACATTTAGATTATATTCCATAACTAAATATATTTTTTTCATAATTAATGATTAAAAGTGTTATAATTTGACTAAAAAGTTAAATTGTGGTAATTTTTTATTGACTGAATGATTATTTTCTATTGACCGATATAATTTTGGACGAGATTTTTATATGAGTTTTTTTACTACTCTAGAGTAACTTGATTTTGTGAAAAAGTATAGACTTTTTAAAATTGGATAGTCTAATTAGGTTTTGTTCAATGGTAGTTCAATCCTTGTTTTTATACGGAGTATATTAATTTAGATTTTTCACTTCTTTAATTTTTTTAAAAAAAATACGAGTAAAACTTTACTTTTGATAACCTAATTTCTTCAGACTTTTTTTACTACCTTGATTTACACAATCTATTTATGCAATATAAACATTTTTTTCTCTAAAATAGTTAGATACAAGAAACAAACAAAATGATTTGTATGTAGGTAATATATTAGAGACCTTTTAATTTTTTATGTCATTTTAGTAAATTCTTGAAAAATAATATAATGTACGGTAATGTATAATTTTTTAACACTAATAACTCTACTACAAAATATTATCTGTCCATACATTTTCAACATATTGAAGCTCGTAGAGTTATTGCTTCCATTAGAGATTGAACAAATGATCTCTCGTTTGGATGAGTCGTACGGTATCATTGAATACAAGGTTCTTAGCTGTAAGGTATTGCTCTATATACTCCGTATTAATTAGATAGATGTATTTGTATAAAAATTATCAAAATTATTCAATTCACTCTACAAGTTCATACAAGTTTAGGTTGACACTTTTCAAGTACAATGCTCAAATTACTTTCTCCTAAAATATAAAATAAGAAATTTTAAATTTTACATTTTTATATTTATGATGAAGAATTATTTCATAAATTTTTATTTTATAAAAAATTAAAATAAGCAATAAATTAGAGTGGTAATTCGATCTTCTCTAAAGGCATGTTTGGTTGGAGAGGATTGAGAAAAAATGGGAAGGCATAGAGGCATTTTTTCACCTTGTTTGGTTGGGGAGGAGAAAGAAATGTTTTGTACCGTACTTCATATTGTTTTTTTCATCCGTAGGAAAGGAGGGAAAGGAAACAAATGAATTTGACACATCTTGTTCATACATTTTCAATTTGAATATGAGTATAGCTTTAAAAAATCATAAACAAAAATATGTTATTAAATCTAAATTTGGAAAAACATTAAATCCTATTTATTTACTCCCTCCGTCTCCCATAGATCTTCCCATTAGCCCTTTTTATTTGTCCCACATAGATCTTCTCATTACCTTTTTTAATAATTAAAATACCACAACTACCCCCACTTACTTTATTTATTACACCTTTTCCACCTTATTCAATACACCCCACTCATTTTCATTAAGGGTATTTTGGTAAACTTCCACCTTTTTTAACTCTTCTAAAAAACCGCAAAAAAGTCAAAACGAGAAGATCTTATGGGGACGGAGGGAGTACAATATTCAATGCAAAGTTGTGGTCATCAATATTTTATTTATAGACAAATATATACTCCGTATTATAAAAATATAATATTTCAAAAACGAAGTTATTAATATCAAATTTATATCACAGGTCAATAATTTATAGTCAAAGTTTTAAAAAACTCAACATTAAAAATTAAACTGAGAAAATTTAAAAGAGACAAAGGGGATAATGATTTGCTTAAATGTGAAAGAGCGCAAATTATAAGGAAACAAAAATCACGCGTTAACAACGCTTTTAAAGAATAATGAGAATGTGGTGACAGCTTTCCACATAAAAGAATGCATCATCATCATCATCATCAACCGTACCATTCACACATCAAAAATTGAAGAAGCATTAATTATTAATATAATAATCATAAGCATACGTTAAAGTTTGTAACATGACAAAATACTATTGCATCGGAATTTGTACTCATACCATTCATACACACATTACGTGCTTAGTGCTCACTTATTATATAAAAAACAGATGAATTTCATCGTGATCGATACGATAAATAGTCTTTAAAAAAATAAATTGAGTTTTAATACAGGGTATTAGATCTGTTATTGGTGCGTGCAAAAACACCATACTAACATTTTGTGTCTGTGTTGTTTAATACACCGGCATCACACTAGCCCAAAACAAAAGTGCACACATGTGGTTTACAATTTGGGGTACATTTTTTTGGTGCATAAGTAGCTTAATTCTGAAGAATTGTTGGGACAATTCCTAGTCTCCATACTCACAACCTCCCCCAAACACTACTATTGCGGGATTTTAATGAGTTGTTTGTTCGAATGTTCAAGCAATGTGGTCGCCTAGAACGGATTATACAAGACCGCAACTAATAAAGAACCGCAAAAAAAAACAGTTTCTGCTTCAATCACTACAAGAATGCAAGACCTATGAAGCTCAAGAATGGCAATGCCAGACTTTGGAACTCGACTACCGAAAATGGGGCAGGGATTGTTCAAAAACACAATGCCAGTTAAAGACTCCTAACCAATGCCAAATAAAGAAAGAATGCAGTAAAAATAGAACATAAGTTCACAGAAGTCAGCTAGATCACAAGCACATACACTTTCTAATATTAAGAAAATAACTAAGGTGAAAAAGGGAATTTACTGAATTACCAACTGGGGAGAGGCATCTTGCTACTCAAGAGAGAAGCTGCAACTGACCATCAAATTGGCAAATTATACTTCCATGGCTTCTTGCTTTCTATAAAACCCTTCATGAAAAAAAAGTTAGATGTGAAAAATGCAGACATTCATTAAACAAGAAATGTCCACCAAGAAACAGGGTGATTAACTATCTCATATTGTCATGTCAATTATGGTTTGATCCAGAAAGCAGTGTAGGCTCTACAAATTTGCAAGGAACCAGCCTGTCTATCAAAGACAATAAACAATTCTGGATAATGCCTTCCATTAGAATGCATTTAATCAGACCAGAATAAGCCCATGAACCATGGGCTACCATAAATCATCACAAATATCCAAACTTTATCTCAAAAAACAACTAAATCACATGTATAATGTAATCCACAGCTGAAACATGGAAACTGGTATGTATGGGCAAATCTAATTTCACATATATAAATTCCGGACCACTATTACTTTCACGGTTTCACAGTAATAATAACAGCATTACATACAGGAAACGAAAGAATACCAGAGTTGATTATTACCTTAGACCAAATACACATTGCATTCGAAAACCCAACAGTAGAACAAACATTTTAACACAATAAAATCAAAAATCAAACCCAATGATGCAAAACTGTTTCTTCTTCACGCCACGAATCGCCTCTTTAAACCTGTTCAATTGTGCTGGTTGATGTTTTCTGTAGGAAGCTGAGAAGTTTCAGGAGGTATACCAGGGGCAGGTTTCATCGTTTGGTATTGAGCCGCAGACATTTGGGGTGCGAAAGGAGACTGAGTATAGTATATCTGCGGGTGGGTAGGATCGGCGTATGCATAAGCATAGTTTCCAGGAGCAGCTGAGGTTGGTGCGGCAACAGACTGAGATGGGAGATGATGAATCTGAGAGTAACCAGCGGCATATTGTGGTGGGTGTGGGGGAAGTTGAACCATTTGTGGAGCAACTACAGCTCTATACGAGCCAGCAGACATTTCGGTTTTGGATGTGGGAGGGAGATTGTTATACTCAGAAGTAGTGGGGGGGACTGTGGCTGCAGGGGGTGTTTGGGGAAGGGAAGAAGGTGCAGAAGAAGGTTCACTAGTTTGTTGAACAGGCATATTGTATGACTGTGTGGGCGGTCTAGCCTGCACGATGTAAACCGGATACGGATGGTCCATAGCAGGATGATGTTGCTGTTGGGAAGGGTATAAAGGGTAATAAGATGTGATTGGCATTGCTCCAGATGGGAGATGGTGGACAAACTGTCCGGCATGAACGTACTGCTGGTGTTGATGCATTTGTGGATGGTGATCCATATGGCTTGGGAACACATACCCAGAATCCTGAAGTTGCTGCTGTTGAAGAACCTGAGTCCTGCCGTTTGGATCATTGATCATCGGATCAACTGGACTGGCAGAAGCTCTAACCCCTGGCTGAATATGCACAATTGGCTCTTGATAAATGTAATTCTTTGGGCGAGACAATTGGTGTGCTCCACTTCCCTCGCTGTTCCAAACAAAACCATCCCAATTCATTCAGATAGATCACATTCACTACTCCAGACCTTTTATAAAAAGTGTGCTTTGCATTCATGGTTATAAAGATGATCATAAAATGGAGAAGAAAAAAAACAATATGGGTATGTTTGAGTCATGAAAAATGCTAGTGAAAAGAGCAAACAAATATAACACTAGGGTTAGGAGAACAAATCGAGTTCGATTTTCTGCCAATTTTTTCCTGCCTAGTTTCTTTCTCATGCCCCTAATGGTTATAGGTGTTTAGTGTACCTTGAAACTGAACCAGGGGAAGGCAAATCAGTTGGTTTAGGTTGCAATTGGGGAGGCGGCTGCTGTGGTGGCTGTGAATGCGGCGGCTTTGGGTAACCAGCAGGGACACCAAGCTCAGATCTCTCATCATCAGAGAAAATCCGGCTTGGATACTCCGCAACAACAGCCGCCACGGGAAGTGGTGGAGCCGGAGGTGAAGTCAATGCCGCAAACCCTCCCTCCTCCTGCTGCTTTTGCCCTCCGGCCACAACCCCAATTGCCATCTGGGAGAAGTGCTCCTCAACTCCCACCCTTTGATTGTCCTCCACGCGGACCCTAATTGGAGGCAAATTCCCCAGGGGAGTGGTGGAGGAGGTGGAGTCAAAAGAGGATGACATCCCTAACATAGGCGAATCTGGAACTGAGTGGATGTCCTGGGAATTCCCCTTCGATTGATTCACACCCCCATTTTTGCTGCTATTCGTCCCATCCTGGAGAGCCTCTGCATCTTTTCCGGTTGAATTTCCGTTAGCGACATCGTCGTCGAGCCCCAGAAGGCAATTCACGGACGAAGACTCGGACAGGACTTTGGTGGAAGTAGAAGTCGCCCCATTGAGCGCGCTGAAGAACCAGTCTTCGGACTTCGTCGAGCTCTCAATCAGGGACTCAATTGAGGAAATCGTGTCGGACTTTGAAGGAAATAAGAACAATCGGAGGCGAGAGGTCTTCGTGCCGCCGTTTGAATTGGAGTTGATGCGGTCGTACTCATCGATCATGTTCTCTAGGTCCTCGTCTGTGGTGACGGAGATCAAGGAATCGAGCTCTTCGTTCGGAAGCTGGTACTTGAGCGAGAAGGAGCGCCCATTCAGGAGCGTCTTCGAGAGGCGGAGAGACAGGTCGGAGAGCGAGGAGTGCCGATCGGTGACCACGATCCGCGTATCGCCGCCGACGTAGCAGAGAGACTTGTCGTGCGGGCGGGGAACTATCCGTCCGCCGTAGCTACACATCAGCCGCAGCTTTCCGCCGCCTGTACCGGCGGCGTAGGGTGGCGGCTCGTCCCAGGACTCCGCGTTGCGTGAGCGAGGCGACGAGTCCACCGAGTCAGCGTAGTTGACGTGCGTTGCCGCTGGTGCCGGTGGAAGCTGTATCGGTTGTCCTGCTGCTGCCGCCGCCGCCGCAGCCATCGCAGACGCTGCCGCCGTCGTCGCGGTGGGGAGAGGCGGAATATCCATAGACGGCCGCAGCGGATTCGTACCAATATGTAATTATAAAAAAAAAAGGGTGCGAGAGGTTTTTTTTTGTGACAGGCAAGAGGATGTCCCTAGGACTCTCAAAAATCAAAATTCTCCAGCTGTTTCCTTTTCTCTTTTTTTTTAGTCGGGAAAAATAAATAAATACTGTAAATTCTTTTGAATCTTCCATGGATAGATTGGTAAATTCCGTTACACAACCCAAATCTTTTAGAACATGGTTTTTAGGAACCATTTGGTGAATCAAATACTCTTATCATCCCATAAATAAAAATCATATTTCTCCTATTATTCATTCCAACAAAAATCTTTTTTTTTTTGTTTTTTGGAAAGGTTATTATGCCCTACTTAATTTCTCTCTTTTTTGTATCACTTGCAATTACAAATTTTAATTTTTTTAAAAGACTAAATTAAAAGAAAAATGTAGTGAAAATATTAAAACAAGAGTTTCATTCTTATATCCAAAATTCGGAATTCCAATGCAAATTACGTCAATATTTAGTTCCAAAAAACACAACTAGATGCTATTGTAGTGTCAAAGTGTCACAATGCAAACTTTTATTTTGAAAAACAAGAACATTACACTCCAATTTCGAAGATAGATTCTGCTCGTATATTTTACTTTTGTTTATGATGATTTTTTAAATCTCTGTGCGAAGTCAAATGTGAAACTTTTTTGCGAAACATAACAAGTATGATACAAGTTGGAGGCAAGTGTGTGTGGCTAGTGATAATGACAGTAGCCACAAATCATGGAGATTGATACAATTTGATAATAATTGATCTTATTGAGTGATAAGAATTTCATCTCCATATACAGAGAATACAAGAGAAAGTCTTAATCATACTAGAATAAATGAATAAGTAATTATGGTAAGAATATATTTTGAAAAGTAATACTAATAACATTCAATTTTCTAAAATCCCTCATAGTTCTAATAGAGATATCAAAACACTAATTGATAACTCGCAATTGGAAGATAATAGAACTCCATGTTTGGGATGGTAATAATATCAGAACTAGTTATCGTGAGCTAATTCTCTACAATATATTAGCTGTATACAGTATTTTTTTGAGTTATATTTTGATATTATGCGGCATTTTAGTTTGGTATAGAAGTATTAAAAATTTTACTTTGATATATAAAGCACACTCCCTTCTCAAATTTAATTAGATATTGTGTAGTACAAAGAGTATTGTGCTAAAAATCTGATACATCAAAACTATATTTCCTCGCCCTTAAAAAACTAGGTTTCATCTTTCGAATAACGTGCAAACCATCGGCTCTTTTGAATTTATTCTATTTAACAATTTGGTGATGAAAATAAATAGTACGAGTACAAATAATATTTTGTAAAACTACATCTAAAAGTCATGCAAAGGTTGTAGCGATAAAAATATTTTTTTTTTCAAATTAACCATGAAAAAACGTCCCAAAAAAACTATTGGATGCCCGAAATGGTAACTTGGCCTTTTTCTGTGAGGGGTTAGTATATCTTAAAATGAACTTATTTTTATTAAATGCACATTATACTCATATAATTAAATATAGTTTTACTTATTTGTAGTAGAGTTATTAGTGTTCAAAAAATATAGGGAGTATATATATAGTTTTTTTTATAATTTGTGATTTAAGTAACAAAAGAATCAAATTAAGATGATAAATTTGGAACCAATAAAATATTTGTTTTGCCAATTATAATTTGTCCTTTCTTTCTCTTTGATTGATATGGTATAAAGTTTCTGATATGGAAATGGAAAACCTCTCAACATAAGGTTCCCAAAGACTTTTATTTAATTTCCCAAAATATTTTAATAAATGTAAATACATTACTCTGCTTGTCCGGTCCTTCAATTCCAAATTAGGAATGATATTAATCCCATAATCTCAACTTCAATTCAATTACCTTAAAAAATATAGTATTCAATTGATTTGGTTCAACATTCTTCAATTAAAATTATATGAAATAAATAATTTTCAATTTAGTGTTCATTTTAATTAAATCCATTTTAGTTCAGTTTGATCCTACTGTAGTG